CTTTAGTAACTTCTATAGTGGCACAAACTTCCATGACTTGGTTGGTGGTTGCTCTTGCTTGCTCTCCTTGGTGGGCTATGCGAAGAACCGTGATAAATAAACCCTGTCTGCTAAACCTCCTTTACTGAGGTTATAGAAACCTCATTCCATACCGTAGGGAGGGCATTGTCCTTGCTCTTGACTCTATCTCTTTAGATCCACTGCCTATATGGGCGTTGGGCCCTGGAAGTTTTTTCAGCGATTATGAGTGTCTTGTGGTGGATTGTAAACTTCTGGTTCCGAGTCAGTGTCTTCCTCGTCTTCTTCATTTTCTAAAATATCTTCTGGATCTTCCTCGATCCAACCTTCATTTCCTTGGTTATGGTGGTGGGGATTTTCGGGGATGAAAAACCCTACCATAATGTCTATACGAGAGTAGAGGTAAGAAGCATAGAAAGAATATAAGCATGTGGGTTTATAATATCATAAAATACTCCTATAGTATTTTAAATTTGTATGATAAAGGTTCTTTGTATGGTTTGTTGGTATGTTTAGACTCGTAGTTCACTACGACCATTCCTCGACATACATTAGTCACATCCTGGATAAATGTAGTTGATCAGGCTATATTCATCCCATATCAGATTACATACCCCGAGACCTACTCATAGTGTTCAATTTATCTAATACTTTTTGTTTTGCTATTGCTATGACACCGAACTAGTAAGTATGATTGTACTTATAATTTTATAAAAATATCGTAATATTTTAAAGTATACTTGTACGAATTACTTCATAGAGTTTTTGTCCCATTGTATTTATAGTTTGTATATCATATGCGGTTTTATATACTTAGTTCACTATAGACAATGCTCTGATACCAATCTGTCACACCCCAAACCGGAATGTCGGAAATGTTCGAGAGCGGAGGACGTCATGTACATTATCATAACAATTGAATAATAGTAAAGAAAACAAACACAACCATCATATATGTAATTGAAAAAGGTTACATCATTGTAAGTGTTACATGTTTCAAAAGTCAATTACAATATGATGTCAAAATGATTTTTTCGATGCCTTAACGTCCCATCCTCAAAAGCCGGTGATTATCTGTTTTACTGATTCCCTGAGAATACAAGTTGTTTTGAAAAGAGTGTCAACAATTAAGTTGGTGAGTTCATAAGCATATTTGTAAGAGAAATCTGCCATTTGTTCCTTGAAAGTGTAACTGTGTTCTTCCAGAAAATCCTATATTTTCTATTGTAAATGAATTGTAGTCTTAATACCATAAGACCAAACCGTGTATATGTTGTTGTACTCTAAAATAATATCCATAAAATGAATGTTTCTAGAAATGTAAGTTTATCTGTAATGGAAAATAGTATACTGTAATTGTATTTGTACGGAATTCCATGAATTTATGTGCCTGGATCCACCACCTGTATTGTAAAATATTGTATTATAGTTCTATATTTAATAAAAGTATATAAAGTTGTTACGTATTCATACACTAATCGGATTGTTCAATACCCAATTGCGAGTTATTATAACCATAAGTGATGACCTAAGATGTCCTGAACACAACGTTCTTCAGACGTCAGAATCGGTACGACATTTTTCAATTCAGGCCCGCGGGTCTAACTGTAGCTAACAGTTTAGGTGTGGGATTGTCAATCCCGTATAGATCTATACACCAGTGTGACGCTCTCCTTCCAGGAGACTCTGATTATAATTCCAAGGCTTGGTTGGTACTTAGATAAGTACTTGAAGTATATCTCACAAAGCTATATTGATGGTTATGTGTCGAATAAAGAAAAGCCATTTTGTATTGATAAAATCATATGTATGACTCATAAACTATACCTATTATAGTTTATATATTTGTTTTTGTATGGAATATCGAACTAGTAAAGTAGTATGTTTATTTTAGTAAAAATGAAAATTGAAAACTATTTAAATAGTTTTGATATTAACACAAGATTCCTTGTGTTTTACTTGTATTCCCCCCTTAAAAATATGAAAAGATAGTGAAAACGTAGGGATACGAACTCACTTGATAAAGTGGTGATTCGGAAAACACTTTGCTTCTTAAAATAATTTCCTTTGACGAAACTGCGAGTTTCTGTTAAAAACCAGGTTGTGCGCGGGCAGAGTTTTAAACCGAAAAGACTCTTTTCTCGAAGACTTCGGGTGCTCCGGGGCTTTCTTCTAGTGCTAAGGAAGTTCCCTAAGCTTCGGGGAGGAGGGGTTTATGGTGGCTTGAGAGGGTGTAGAGTGTGAACAAAGGGGTAAGTTTGAAAAATAATCCGGGAGGCCTTGCATGCTATTTATAGAAGGATTCTGACCTTTGGTGCGCAGGGTGTTCCTACGAGGAGCGCATGACATACCCTCGTGCGCGGTGCGGAGGAGCAGGGTGCGTGTTCGTGTTCAGAGATTTGTATGTGTCATCCATGCGAATGGGGTTATGTAGCCAACTCCGGATCAGGCTTTTGCGAATGCGGAGGATTCCCTCTGCGCAGGGCGTTCCCCTTCGGATACACCTCAAAATGTGCACCTTTAACTTCAAAAATTCATAACTTTTGCATATGAGCTTCATTTTGGACATTATTTATATCCATGTGTAGGTGGGACCGTACTCTACAACTTCGTTTAAATTTCATCGGCTAATTTTGATTCTATTTCTAAAGTTACATTTTTAGCAGGCTAGGATAGGAAAAGTCCGTTAAAAATTCATAACTTCTTCATCCGACATCCGTTTTCGTCTATCTTTTTACCGTTGGACTACTATTGACGAGATCTTCGATTCTCATTTAGGTTGTATTGGCTAAAAGTTTCTTGATCTATAATTCGAATTCTGGGTTGCACACTGCTATGCCAAATCTTAGAAAATTCATAACTTTCTCATACGAAGTCTGATTTGGACGTTCGTTTTATGCACGCTCTCAGTTTAATTTATACTATGACTTTCATTTAGACCGCTAAGGTTAAAAATCATTTTATTGTAAATTCACTTTTTATGTCGCACAACGTTGTGCCGCTTTTATTGTGAAACTTCGATAGGCCATAACTTCTTCATTATAACTCAAATTTCGGAGTTCTTTATATATCTGAAATCCTTATCATGACCACTACAACTTTCTTCATAGATATCGGGTTTATCTAACATTTAATTTTAATTTATTATATCTTTATTACTTTAAAACGAGTTATAATGGTTGACCTAGACTATTACATTGACTTGAAATAGTGGGTTGTTACATTGTAGTCTCCAATGCTCGTGTCACTTGATTTACGATCTCAGAAGTGAGAAACTATGGTGAGAATTTCATTTGGGTTGATCGAAGAAAATTTTACATCCGTGATGGTGATGGTGGCTTCTTTGTTCCGAGAAACATAGTATATGTACATTATACAATTAAGATCAAACTTGCTTTGATCCTTGTTACCATATCCGATGATCTTGGCAATCCACTTCTGAGACCACACTTCCTTTTGGGATTGTGTGTTGATGGAGTAAAACATTCTCAATCTATCACACTCTATTCTAATGATTATTTGAGGATCATCATTTGGATGTAGAGGAATGTACTTGATATAGATATAATCGTGAGGAGAGATTGGATGGTCAAGTTTATCAGCATCATGTGTCGGAAGATCGTAGTACGTGAGTGGAACAAAGTGTATGTCATGAATAACTCCTTAGAAAAGAGGAGAGATGCCCAACATAGGATTCAAATTGTCTTTTAGTGCTTGAATTTGAATGCTTTCTTCCAAAGCTTGATCGATTTGTTCTTGAGAGCAGCCCTCAGACTTTTGAAACATTTTCACTAGGCTGTTAGAGTCTGTTGCAATCTGTTTACCTTTGTCTTGTGGATTTTCGCTCATGCTAGAAAAAGAGGAAATGATTTGTTTGACTAGATTTGGTGATGAATAACTCAAATGGAGGAGAATTAGAGGCTCTTCAGGGAGATCATTAGGTTTCCTAATGGGAGAATATTCATCAATTTAAACTATCCTTGGAGCAGAAATTGGTGGAAGCATGGATTGAGTAGCTTAGAATGCATCAACAATCAGATTGGTCTTGAGCTTTGCCATGTTTTAGCTTTGTCTAAACACTTCAGCTAAGGATGATGGCCAAGAAACTGAGGACCATATCATCCTCCCTTCCGAAAGGACATACACTGGTTGTTCCCTGAGGGCTTGAAGTCCTAACATCACATTTTTAGCTAGGTCTTCATCTTATTCATCACCTCATTCAAGAGCTTCGACCTCGAGAATTTCTTCATCAGTTGATTCATCTCGGAGCACAAACTTCGAGAAGTATTTCTATTGTATCATTCTTTATTTTCTTTATCTTTCTCCCCCTCTTGCATGGGATGGCCCTGCCTCTGATGCAAGTATGGATTCAATCTTGAGTTCCTCCAACTATTCAAATACTTGTTGAAAGCTGGTGTTGAGTTGTTTGGTGAGAGAACATAAGCCTTGAATGCATGAGCTTAAGCCTTGAGGTGGGCAAAGGTTTCATCCAAAATTACCAGCATATCACCGAACTTGTTTTTCGAAACATCAAGAACATTCCAGGTTGCTCGGATCAGCTTGATAAGTACCTCTTGCATTATCATGTTCAAGGCATCATTTTTACGAATCTCATTTTCCAATCATTGAATCTGTTTCTCATGACGAACATGAGTATGTTTGATGAGTTTGTTGGTAGCATTAATCATGTCATCATGAATCTTGAGCATAATGGTGGTGGTAGAGATGTGATAGCTGAGACTGTCATTATACTTCTATTCAACTTCTTCGATAGTATGCTTGAGATAGAGGGAAATAAGTTGGTCGAGCCGATTGGCTCGGTCCACTTCCAAAGGAGAAGCATCGTGGATTTCAGAAAGAGATATAAGGATGAGATATAGCTTGGATTCTAGACTTGTAAACTTTTTATGAATCTTTGAATCAAGGCTTGCGACTTTCTAATCAAGGGAGTCGACCTTGGTGATAGCAAAGGCAACATTGTCTCAGAGTTCTAACAGGGCAAAAGGACTTGCAATATTTTCGCCTGAAGATCCTGTGCCTGAGGTAGAACTCTTAGACTTCTTATCATCATCATTGTTTACGTCATCATGATGTTTGGAGGGCTTGGAGTCATCAATCGAATTGGCTTGAGCCCCATTACCTTGATCACTTTCCAAGGTAGTTTTTGGAGAGGTATGCTTGTTAGCTTCATCATGTGCTTCTTCTTTGGATTCCTCGGAGGATGAGGAGAGACTGAAATCATAAAATGGTATCAAGGAGGAAGGCTTCTGCAACATATTAAAGGATTTGAGGATCAGCATAGCATCAACTATTGTGTTATCATCTTCGAACATTACATCATCCAAGAGATCCTCGTCAGCAAGTGGCTTGGGAGTTTCTTCGCTTGTGAATGTGGGTGGGGGGGGGTCATATGAAACATTTGTAGAATTGGGAACATCTCCTATAGTATTCTGAGCTTCTTTAGAAGGATTAAACAACTGATTAGTCTATTTATCGGATGGAAAAGTGAATGGAAGATAGATTCATAGAGTACGTTAACGCATAGAGATAATCGTATATTCCATTTGTGCTCTAGTTAGTTCTGAATATCTAGAGTGAGCCATTCAACAAAATTGTAAGTCCCCAATCCGCTTGTATATCAATCAGATTCATTTGATGCTGCTGAATCCCAATCAAACGGATGAAGCCAGATCAAAATAGAAGAAAAGGAGAAAAAGAATAATATGAATCTTGTATGATTTGATTAGAATGTAGATCCAAATACAAGATTCACACACTTATGCTCTTTTCTCTCTCTCTCTCTCTTGGCTGTAAACTCTCACTGTTTCATCAACCACTCCTCACCTGTAACACCTATATTGTGACAATCCGATATTTCAACTACATGTAAACGACCTAAAAAGTCAAGTATTGTAACCACGTTAGTTGTAATAAAATTAACTTCGAAAATAAAATATCCAAAAATCACTAATTAAATTACCTATTATGTTAGAAGTCATTAAACCGTGATCGTACGTAAAAAGAACGCCCAAATCCGACTTCGTATAAGAAAGTTAGGAATTTTTCAAGTTTGACTTAACAGCAGACGGCTAAAAACTCGAATCAGAGATCGAACGACTTTTGACCGGAATGACCTAAACGAGAATCGAAGGTCTCAACAATGGTATTTCAGCGATCAAAAGTCTGGCAAAAACCGACGTCAGAATAAGAAGTTATGAATTTCTAAAGAAATTTTCTTACCGCGACCTTTTAAAAATAAATAATAAAAATAATTTCGGAATTTGCCAACGGAATCTAAACGAAAGTTGTAGAGTATGGTATCACCTTCGCGAGAATATAAAGAACATTGAAAACGGAGTTCGTATGAAGAAGGTATGAATTTTTGAAGTTTGCTAAATAATTAATATATAAATTTAATTCAAAAATTCGGTATTATCCGAAGGGTGAGTCACCGGGTTCATCCGAGTTACGCGCCGCGTACAGGCATACGCCCTGCGTACGCGAGGCCTTGGTCTCAGTTCGTCCACGTCGCCCCTATGCGAGCCTGCCCGTCCCGTCCCATCCGAAGCCGAGGCAGTCGAGGACTCGGTCACGCATGACGCACGAGTACGCCCCGCGTACCGAGGTCTCTCAGCCCCCTATAAATAGAGATGCGAGGGTTCTGGGAAAAACACACCAATTCTCTCATTTCTCTTACGATCTAGCCTCATTTTCCATGCCCGTACTTCCCTAAAGCCCCGATCACTTTGCTCGAGTCCCGAAGGTCGTTTGTGCCCCCGAGATTCCCGAGAATCCTAAGGAAATCCACTTTCTCAAGCCGAAATTCTATCCGGTTTTCATCCCGCAACCTCCGATCTTACAAGTGAGTTCATACCCCTATAATTCACACTTTTAAATGTTTTATGACTACTTTTACATGCTTTAAGGGGGGAATACAAGTAAAACACTCGATTATTATCGTGTGTTATATAAACTTTCACTTTACGCGTTTTATCAAAGTAATCATATGTGATTTGAAACTATTAAAGGGAAACTTTCATATGCAAATTATACCACGACAACATTTTATCTTTTGAAATGAGAAAACGATTTATGTATTTATATAAATCAGATACTTGCTTATACTACCTTTCTGTGTGTCGGTTTTGGCACTGCAAAAACTACACTTTTCATAACAAGTGAGCATTTTTACTAAGGGTTTATTATGCAAACCAAACACACTTTTCGGAAACTATAGTAGGTATAGTTTCACGAGAATACTACGAACTTTTACATACATGGAAATACTATTTCAAGAAGCTACTTACATATACAATAACGAACGAACATTTTCACAAGTAAATCTGTTTTATACTAAGTTTTGTGAGACAATAACTTCATGTACGTTCGAGTACACATTTCAAGTTCTGTATTATATACCAGAATCCCTTGGAGGGGGAGCATGGTGTTTGTGTATAGATCTATACGGGCTTGACAACCCGTGCCCTGACTGTTAGCTATAGTCCACCATTTGGGGTGACAAATGTTAGAACATTCCAACGCCTGAAGAACGTTGTGTATAGGCATTTCTAGTCAATAGCATGGTTATAAAACTCACATGGAGTATTAAAAACACAATGATTTACGGGGTTTTTCAGACGTATTGGAAATTTTATACGTACATACATTTACTAGAAACAAACATTGGTCTTAAAAGAAGGCTACATTTATACTAGTAGAAAATATAGGATTTTCTAGGAACAAGCAAACAAGGAACAAAAAAATTTCATTTCATACAAACATTATCATTAAATACTTATGAAACTCACCAGCTTAAATGCTGATCTACTCTTTCAAAACTACTTGTATGTCCCAAGGATTCAGTAATTACAGGTAACAAACGGATTTTGGAGAAGGGACGCTACGGCGCCAGTTTAATTTCATATTTTGGACATCATATTGTAATTGATTTTGAACATGTACACTTTTAAACAATGTAAACTTTCAATTATATATATGATGGTTGTATTGCTTTCTTTACTATGTATTCATTTGTTACGTTACCACATGAAGTCATCCGCTCCCTAACGTTTCCGCCGTTTCGGTTTGGGGGTGTGACAGATTGGTATGAGAGCAATGTTTATAGTGAACTAAGTATAACGAACCTCATAAGATATACAAACTATAAATGCTTATGGACTCAAAGTCTCTGACAAAAGTTTTCGTACCTAAAATCATTATTTCATATAAATAGATTATTTTTGGTTATGAAAATCCAAAATACATGCATACAACAACACATTTTTATGATAAGAACTATACGAAAGTATTAAGACAAGTTGGACACTATGATTAGTTCTCGAGATATGTAATCAAATTTGGGACGAATATAGCCTGATCAACTATGTTTATCCAAAATTAGACTAACGTATATCGAGGAATGATCGTAGTGAGCAACAAGTCAAAACTTAACAAAATAGACACTAGTATCTAATGTACAATTTAAATACTATAGGAGTATTTGGTGCATACAATAGATTAATTAGTATTACATGTCTCAAGTTTTGTTCAAATCTTATAACCCAATTCTCGTATAGTCAAATGGCTGGATTTTACCCGCATGGAGACCCCTACTACCCAAACCAAGGCAACGGAGGATGGATTGAGGAGGATCCGGAAGAGGACGATGAGCCTATCGAGTTGGATGGAGGAGACGACTCAAGTACAAACTCGGAACCAGAGATAATCAACCCTCCAGCCATTAGGAGGAACTTCCAAGGACCGAATCCCGTTTGGGGAAGTCACCTCATCCACTGGAGCCAACAACAAGGGATACGATCTCCCTACGGTATGTGTCGAGACTTCTACGACATCAGGGACGGAGGTTCAGCCGACCGAGCACTTCCGGCGATGGTAGGTAAACTGGCCAACCAGTCCTACCAATTGGGGGTTCAAGCAAACCGAATCCGAGAGGTCAACGTGGAAGTACAAGTCCACACGGCCGATATCCGCCGCCTGGATATGTTGCAGAATGACATCCACCTCCGCGCCGAAGCATTCCAAGCACAAAGAAGTGCAACCCTCGCAGAGTTGAGGGAACAACAAGCCGCCTTCGATAGGCGTCTTATGGAGTCGAAGCAACCGGATGCAGAGTCGAGCTCCAAGTGCAACACACGTCGCAAGTAGTACTTGCGAAAACCTCAAATTTTGTTATAAGATAAGACTTCGGCTAAAAGCTTTTACTTCCTTTAAATTCTTGTAATCGGAGACCCTTTTAAGGGTCAAATTTTCGTGATCGTTGTATCATCTATCATATTAATATAATTCGCACGCTATTACTACTACGTTGAGTATCGCGTTCAATCTTTAAAATATTATGGAAAAACCATACGCTTGTTCATATATTCGGATTTACGAATAACCTTTGCTCTTTTATCTGTGAGACTCATACTATCATCTGTTGTTGAAACTATAGCAATTTAGTTCATGAGACACATTCATTATTCATTTTGTAACAACCCGAAATTTCCGCTTCATTTTAATGTAACTTTTTCATAAATCAACCCGTGCAACCGATCGTCGTTCCGATTTCCGATTTCCGATTTCTCAGTTTAATTAAGTCATTAATTAGTACACATTTAAAATAACTTAATGGGTGTCTTAATACATTTAGAAATCATTTTAACACTCAACTCTAGTGATCGGAATAATTCTAGAATTTACCGTATCGGGTTACGGTAACTCAATCGGGTACGACCAAAAACCCCGTCTAACGCCGGTATCGGGTAAAATTCCACCGTGTCCAAAACTTAAACGCTATATAAACGTGTTTAAGACTTCATTTGAAGCCTTTGGCCAATTTCTCACTAAACTCTTACAACCTCTCTCCTCAAGCTAGAATTAAGGTCCAAATCACAAGTTTAAGGCTTCAAATCTTTAAGGTAACCTCCCTATCATGTTATTCAACACCTTTAGCCTTCAAATTGATGAATTAATTGAGTTTTAGGGCCAAGAACATGAGTTTACGGCCAAGGAACAAGCTTGGGCCATAAACTCCATTTAATGGGGTTTTAAGCCCTTAAACTCCTTCCTAAACTCAATTGGACTTTAGATATGGCTATGGGACTTCAAGATATGGACTTAGAACATTTAAAACTATGATTTTGAGCCATTTAAAGGAGTTTACGGCCAAGGCATAAGATTAGGCCGTAAACTCAAGTAAAAGGGGTTTTTCATGCCCTAAAACCCTTCCAAATCACTCCTATGGCTTAGATATGAATTGTAGGACCTTGGTTTTAGCATTTGGACACCTGAAACATGAATTTTGTGGGACTTATGTGAGTTTACGGCCAAG